AGCTTGCAGTAATACCGATGTTGCTGCAGACGCTCCAGAACCGTACGAACGTGGTCGACATGCTCATCAGCGGTACGCGAGAAGATGAGAATATCGTCGAGGTAGACCACAACGAACGGAAGGTCCTGCAAAATCGAATTCATTGCAGACTGGAAGACAGACGGAGCATTAGTTAGACCGAAAGGCATCACCTTGTACTGGAAATGACCAAAAGGGGTGCGGAAAGCAGTACGCTCACGCTCATCCTCGCGAATAAGCAACTGGTGATAACCCTGCGTAAGGTCTAACGACGAAAAGATAGATGCACCACGCAACCTATCGAGGAGATCGTCAATACGCGGCAACGGATATCGATTCTTGATGGTGATGCGGTTGAGCTGACGATAATCAACGCACATACGAAGCGTACCATCCTTTTTGCGTGCGAACAGAATAGGCGCACCGAAGGGCGACGAAGATGGCTCGATGAAGCCCTGCGACAACAGCTGCGTAATCTGGCGTTGCATTTCGTCACGTTCAGCTTGCGAATAGCGGAACATACGCTGAGCAGGCGGGCGAGAACCAGGCTCTAGCGGAATGACGGAAGGCAAACCACGATCGGGCGGCAAATCAGCCGGCAGCTGGTCCGGAAACAGGCCCTCCTTATCTAGCAGCAAAGCACGCATTCGTAACTCAGCAGGAGAGTCGCCCGGAACCACAGAGCAAACCTTTTGAGCAAAAGACGACAGCTCAGGCGAAGCAGAGGGCGGAGACGCGGAAGAGGTCGAGTCGACAGCAGAGACCATGCAGAGAAGGAACTCATAACCTTCACGAATGGCCTGCATAAAGCCGACATGACAGGGCTCTTCCAACGGGGGTAGGTTAGGAAAAGGGCTAGACTTCAGTACAGGTTGACCAGGATGGCGAGTTAAACGCGCGGTGCAGGCATACGGGGTAAGCACAGCACCGACAGACGTAACCCAGGGGTCACCCAGCACCAAGTCATAACCAGGAGCGAGATCAAGCACAGCACACTGCAACCGAGCCTTGTAACCCTGCAAACGAATAGGTACCTCAGCAAACCCTACCGAAGTCGTAGTCCGTCCATAGCCCAAAGTGACGGTGAGGGCGGGATGTGTGTTGTCCGACGGTTGAACCGCCAAACCGATGCGTCGAGCAAAACCTGCACTTAAAAGGGCTGAAGGCATGCTTCCGCTATCGATGAGGATGGAAGCATCGGACTGACACACTTTACCTCGAAACTGCATAGTCAAACCTTCCGAAACGGAGAAAGGTAAGGGGGCGACGTCAGCATCAGAAGCAGATACCGGAGGGTCGTACCAGAACTCGACAGGACTGGTTAAACCTGCAGAACGACGCCTGCCTACCGCAGCCACAACATCATACAGGTGATAACCAGCGTGGTACGTGCGAAGCTGAGTCATGCCGGACAACGAAGAACGACACTTATCAGCGACCCACTTAGGCAACAGAAAACCACCTGATGTTGACTGCGGTGCGAGACTTTTGCAGTTCAAGTAGTGCGACAGATACTCCCTAGCATGAGCGGGAGGCGGATGAACGAAAACGTGATGTCCGGCACAGCTGGAAGACAGAAAGCTGTGCGGAGTCGAACTGAATTTGGGGCACATAGCTGATCGACGCGAAGGGGCAAACGAATCCCAAGTAAAATGTCGACCAGTCAAACGCTGAAGCTGCTCGAATTCGGAAGTGCGAAGTATACGAGTCGACGGAATAAGTGCAGAGGCAATCGGAACGCTCGAATTAGTCTTAGTATTACAAGATCGACGAGGCTCTGCAATAAGAGCAGCAAAGACAACAGCGTCCTGACGCGCGAGTTGCACCAACGGCGAAGTCTGTTTAGACGAAGTAAACTTGCATTACCAAACGAAGCCGTACCCAACGAGGTAGGCGATAGCGAAGCAGCGACAGGCGAACGAGACGAACGAGCCGGAAGCGGAGGCTCGCAACTGGGAACGGGGCAGTCTTGCACACAGGACGTGCTAATGCCAACAGATGTGCCCAACTGTTCACAAAACTTAGCCCCCCCAGGATTCTCGCCGCAGTTCTTGAGGAACCAATCCTCAAGCCACTCGAAACTCGGAAAGAATCCACCCTGCATAACTACAGCCGAGTGTAAAGCCAAGCGAAGACAACGGGGTTCCAGCGCCGCGATGAAAGCAACCGCGACGTCCTCTGATTGGATTGGCAGCCCGCATCGCTGGAGTTCATCTTGGATTGCTATTTTCTGTAAAGTCCAACCCTGCGCCAGGGTCAGTTGCTGGTTTTCAAGAGAATCCGGAGACATCTCCAGCAACTTGTCGAAACGCGGGTACGTAGGCGCCTTCTCCGTAAGCGACAAAGAAGAAGCGCGATTAATGACTTGAACAACAGCATTGTCGCGGTCGGCAATGGCCGCGACAGGGTCAGCAGCAGTCATGAGATACGACGGCGGAAGCGAAGTAGACTAGGATCGAGAAGTCTCGATACCAATGTAATGATCAAGCCTATTTAAGAAGCATTCCACTTGTGTGGTGGGACCGAAAGACCCCGAGTGATGGGTGGTGAGCCGTCTTATCGACCGGCCACCGACGGAAGTACGGCAAAGCGAACCAGATTAGATGAAGGCCCTATGGCGAAGGCCAAACTTCACCGACGAACGATAACGAATAGGCGAATGAGAGTAATGTAACAGCTCATGCTCGTTACACTGACGGACGTCCATCGAAAACAGACAAAACGTACCAGCGGCAGGTGTAACGGCGGGACGATGAGATCGTCACGCACAGGCGTAACGGTAACGAATCGATGAGTAGACGAAGTAAGTGGGTCTTGGCCCCACGGTAAGCCGCCAGGTACGAGAGGAAACATAATGCTAACGGGTACTCGCGATAACACGATTACTCGATTCAGGAACACGGAAAATTATTACAATAAAACGGGGCGCGATCGCGCTTCCAAAAAATTTGGATAACACCGAAAAGGGCCTAAATTCGTTCGTGCGTGGTGCGTGGGGCTCGCTTAGGCGGAGAGCGTTACAAAGGTTGTAAGTGAGCCCTTCGTATCATACGGATGCTCGCCCCAACTAATCCGGCCCTTACGGTGGCGGGCTCTTTGACTTCAGAAATGCGTCGATTCGATCGGCGGCATGGATCAAGACAGACAGTGGCGAGATACACCACCCATAGCTTAGAGAAGAAGAGGAATAATCGATACGATCGAGGCTATTTGCCATCTGCTTTTCCGACGCGGATTCACCAGGTCCCAAAACCGGACTGTTGCAACAAGTACGGAAAACACTGCGCACCGAAAAGTCAGGGCTGCGTCGGCTTTCCGAAACAAATGTCTACTTAAAAAATACATTTTCCATAGACGATCTACTTGTCCTTTATCATGACCTTAGTTGGTTTCCACGTAAATTGTTGCCACGTCGCAGGCACACACCTACTCTGCTGAAATTGCAGAGAGGATAACCTTTCATGGCGCAAATTTAACATTTAACTGTTTAACCGGTAAAACCTTCATGTCCGCAAGCTAGCTAAACCAAAACCCCCCTGTCGGCGACCGCCCTTGCTATCGCTGCATACGCTTCTTTACCAAGCAAACGTTAATAATTTCTGACGTTTGGTTTTGTGTCGTGTGTCTGTGTCGGTGTTGCAGGGGCTAAATTACCCGGCTGCCGAGGATGTTTGCCTAAAACACCTCACGACACAAAACGTACGGGTTGCTCGACACCCTGGACGGCTGCTTCACCCTTTCTACAGCTGCCCGAGGAGTAGATACGGCAATCTGCACCGAACGGCAATGACGACAGGCACTGGTCTATCTGCAATGGAAGACTCAGCTCCTGCGGCGCGCCCTGATGCTGATATGAAGGCCAGCCCGATGCTGTCAAAACAGTCATCAATTGATCGGATCGGTGCAGCTATCCAGGTCCTCAAGGATGCCGCGGAGCTGATGCGCTCGCAAAGCGAACTGTTGGCGGGACCCCTTGGCGACGACAGCGGTGAACAGCTCGCAACAGCTGAAATGCAAAAAACTGCTGTCCAGCGGTTCATGTCTCGAAGGCTTTCTCGTCAAGCCAGCCGCGGAAACAGTGGCAGCAGTGTCGCTTCAGCTGTTACGGACGCACAAGGACAGGGAGACATCGGCGGTGAGGTCGCCTTGGCGGCGGCTGTGGCAGCTGTGCCGGCGGCGGCGGCGGCGACGGATAGGCTCAGTGACAGCGACATGGCTGGCGGACTGAGTCAAGCACCCAGCAGCGACCAAGTGGACGTGCCTGGGCCTCGGATGACATCGCCGCTGGAGCCCTCCACCCTCTCATCGCGCCCGCATTCCCAGAAGGGGATGTTGTTGTTGGAGCTCGCGCCATAGTTCGCTTAGAGAGGTTGACGTGGTCACTCGCGGCAGGTGTGTAGGTCGTTGTGGTGGAGGGGGTACTGGAATGATTATCTATTTACCTAGTTCGGTGGTTTCGAGCATGTCCAGAACTGGAATTTGTTAACAACACCGAAGGGGTGTAGCCGGCGGGGTGTATCTTCATTTGCCCCTTCGGCTGAAATTTGCCCCGCTTCAGCCGTTTGTCTGGTATGTAGCTAGATTCGCCTGGCATGCGTGGTGGTTACGGGGTGTGTATGTGTGTGTTACATGTGTGTGCTATATGTATTTGTATTTCTTGTGTATCGATGCAGGCCTGACACTGGCCAGGGCACCTAACCGTACCCCAACGGGAACGACCGCCGGAGCACTTGGGCGCTGTGTCAGGAATCCTGACCTTCACTGTTCCTAACGTGATATTGTTAAGAATGGTGCTTCTTGCATATCCTAACCAGCCATTGTGTTGTTAAGCTTTATTATAAAGCACACAGAACTTTTCTCGTCATGGGTTTCTTCTAGGGTGACTTTTTGCACATTCACGTAACACTTTCGGGGAAAATAGTCTATTTGTCGAAATGTCTGCATACTTTCGGAGATAAATTTGTTGACTCCCTAAAGCCTTGCACTGCTGTTATTTTAAGGGAAACATGGAGGTAGAAAGGCGCTAGGGTTCCATGACAACCTACAGCGAACGTTGACAAATCTCGACGAAGCCCTATGAAGCCTAGTCATAATTAAAATTGTCCTCTGATGTGGAGCCGATTGCGCGGACAGGCGGTAACATCTGGGAAACAGGTTGTGGGCCCACTTCGGCTCCATGCGAAGTCCCCGAGCTCTGGGCAGCGGCCCTTTAGACTGGCCGTGGCAGCTGCAAACACATCCTACGATACGACAAGCTTGTTTGGTGGCGAGGACTTCTATACCATTCTGGGTGTGGTAAGGCTTTCCGCGCCCTTTCCTCCCGGCCGATCCACCAAAGCACATGGACGGCACAACATTACAAGATCTTTTACTCCGAACTTTTTATATGCAGCCTCCAAACGCCGAGTTCCGCGACATTAAGCGCGCCTATCACGGCCTGATGCGGCAGTTCCATCCCGACCGGGCACCCGATAACTTGCGTGATGATATGGCGTCGCTATGTGTGCTTCTCAACGAGATCTACGAGGTGTCTGTGGGGAAGGGGGAAGAGGGATTTGTCGAAAGGGGGAAGGGGGCAGGAGTTATGGAGATATGTCAAGGAGGTAAGGGGAAAGGGGTATCTAAGGATGGGGGGAAGGCCGCGCGGCACCTTCACTGATTAGAGTGTATGCGGAGGGTGAATTACGCACGAAACTGTCCGGGGTGCCCCGGGACCGAATTCGGGATGGAAAGTAGAAGGGAGGTTTCGGGGTGAGTTGACAAGGGACACGCGTAAGGATGCTGCATACGTGTACTACGTCCCCAGCACATCGCATCAGTTGGGTCTCCCGCGCCACCTGCCCTCTTCCTGGGCGACGCCTGAACACGCATGTGACTGGTCAACGCGTATCAACGGGGCTCGATATTGGCGCACACGCCTCTCGGCGCTAGACGCTCAGTGACGAGGACAGGCGTACCACATACGACACGCTGGCGGGTTTCTCGTCCAGTTCTATCAACCCGTTCTTGGATAACAGCTTCGCCCGGGATCAGGTCGGTTGGGCCATGTATGTGTGTATGTATGTGTGTATGTATGTGTGTATGTATGTGCGTGTATGTATGTATGCATGTATGTATGTATGTGTCTATATGTTTGGGCAACAGTGTGAGCCCAGGTTCTTACAGCTGTTCCAGTCCCCCCCCCCGACCCTTGGCCACCGGGCATCAACAGGTCTTTGTGGACGAGATCACGTGCATCGGTTGCGGCAAGTGCGTGCGCGCCTGCCCCCGAACCTTCGAGATCGAGGCCTCCAAGTACGGCAGGGCACGTGTCATTTCGCAGGACGCTGATGACGTGGACAGCGTGCAGGTGCAACCGGGTTCGGGGTTTGTGAGTGTGTATGAAAGGCCACGGGGTGGGGTCCTCTTGGCGAGGCCAGGACACGGCCATTGGCGTATATTGCTGGGGTATAGCGGGTAATAACGGACCTGTTGTAAGGATTTCTGGTTGGGGGTGTACCCGGGTGGTGCTCAATAATACGGTCGCCAACATCAGCATTAATATCATTTCATTTTTGGGTGGGAGCTCTGTGGAAGCACTCCCTCCAACACCATTTACAACATCCCCCTCTCCACCCTCGGGAACCCCCTTCCCCCGGGCCCCCTGCTTCTTCACACACAACACCCCGCGGCCACCTTCCGGGACCGCCTCCCAACCAAGTAATCGCGGTCCTCGTCCCACTCCCCCCCTCCGTACGGGTGATGTCGTGGGTTTGCGATCCTCCTCTCTTCATCCTCCGCCCCCTTCCAAACCCCTTTTTGCAGATCGCGATCGAGTGCTGCCCCGTGGATTGCATACATTGGGTGAGTGGCGGCTGACTTACTGACTGGCAGACAGACAGACGGACGGACGGAAGGGCGGGGAGGAATGGGGGAGGGCCGACAGGGGAGGCAAGCTCTGAGCGCTGAGAATCATCATCCGGATTCAGCGGACAGACGGAGAACGTAATAGTGACTGAGGGCGAGGGGTGCCTCAGCTCCTGCCGTCGTACGCCTTGTTTCTTGAGTGACCGTTACGGCTGGGCAGTGTAGCGAAGAGAGCGTGGTGTATTATGTCACGTTCGCTGTAGCTGTAGCCGTCGCTGTCGCTGTGTGTATTTGGAGGGGGTGGAACACCACCGACGAAGTGATGTTCCCCATTAAAACATCCAAACGAGGTCATTGTATCTCCTCTTTCCACGCCGGGCGGCAAGTAAAGGAAAGAATTGTACCCCACATACCTTCACACACCACACACCCGGCCCGATACACACACATACATACAGAGCTGCAAGCCATCACCGATGTTAACACCATCACGTGGTACTTAGCGTCTGCTTTGGAGCCACATAACCCTTACGACCGTCCATCTGCCCATCTGTCTGTCTGTCTGTCTGTGTGTGTGCAGGTGTCTCTGCCCCAGTTGTCCCTCCTGGAAGCCGCGCTGTCCCGCATGGGCCGCATAGAGGTCTCGGTGATGCAGCGGTTCGGGCGCTCCGGCGGAAATGTGTTTCAGGTGGGGGGAGCTGGGAGGTGGGGTTGGGGGCCCTGTGGGTGCGGTAGTGGCAGAAAGGGAAGGGGGGAGTTGCGGCGGAGTGGTGTCTAGTGAAGGCCTCGAGCTAGTAGCTAATAGTCCTTAATCCCTACCCAGCCCCCTGCTTGCTTGAATATGTGATGAAAACAAAAAATAACACTATCATATTGACGAGCATGGCAAATAATATACAATTTAGGACAATACCTAGAACTTCCCATGCTACTACTGCAGTAAAACCTGCAGCCATGGCAATTAAAACTGATTTTTCGGTAATGTGAAACCAAAACCAGTACATGTGTACTGCCTCCAGGTGGCGTACAAGGCCTGGGAGCAGCGCATGGCGGCTATTCAGGAGCGAGCTGCTGCGGCTGATGGCCGCACGCGGGTGGACTGGTCTTTCTGGACCAACGGCGCCAGTCTGCAGTACGATGAGGAGGCTGATAAGCGAGCTGCAGCGCTGGTGCGTTCATGGGCTTATGTTCGGATGACATCTTGTTGTTGTTGTTGTTGATGGGGTGTTACACTGTGGGCGGCTCGCCGGATAAAGGACGCGCACGGGGGGCCCTGACCGGGCCGAAACACAGCGCAGGGATGGGCGCGCGGCTGCACGTCCGTCTGTTCCTCCGCGCGCGCCTCATTCCCTCACTCACGCCAACCGGGACGCTCTCCCAGCCCCTGGCTAGGCGACGCAGCGGTGCAGAGGACTGCGAACCGAACTAAGCGAGAGCCGCACGAAAGGCGCCACTTTGCCTGGCCTGCCTATTCGCGCGCTCTCGTCCCTCTTGACCACCGAAACAAGAACAAATAGAAAACACCACCGGGGGCAGGGACTCTACTCAAGGGGCTCCGCTACACACTCAAAAACCAGGGCCCCACGCAGCCAGCAAGGCAAGAGATACACGGAGGACCACGGGCCTGAGACGACACACCACACAAGCCGAGATACGATTGCACAGAGAAGACCAACACAAAGCGAGTACTCGCACACTGGTCCTTGAAGGCCAGCTGTTCAACTACCACGAGCAACGAGCAACGAACACTTCCCGAGGGTGGCCACCACTAGCTCGCCGGTCCACTCACAAACGAGGCGAAACTGGTCCGCATGTCAGTCTCCTCCTGGGGGTTGCGGGTTCCCGGGTGCAGCCCAGCGCAAGACACAGCAAAAACACCTATTGCCGCGGGGGGGATGACAAGCCAGCACGGCGCCCCCCTATAAAGCCCGGAAAAGGCACGGCTCACAGACGCCGCCTGCTCCCGCTTACCACACTGAAATCCCTCCCCTCCTGACCCTGACCGGTCGGAACCAGCACCACCTGTTCTCCACCTCCAAACCACTCTCCTCCTCCGCTTTCCCACCTCCTATCCACTCTCACAAGCCACCTACGTCTTCTCTACTCTGATGCCAGACAGCACAGAACCCATTCCCCTCACTCCGACGGGCCCCAATTCCCGGGGAGAGGGCAACCACACGAGCACACAAAACACACACAGCCCGGTCCCTCAACTCCCCCTGCTAGACCACGCTCAGGGCACTGCCCCCTCGCCCTGCCCTCCACCTGCCCAGGTCCTCCCTGCTCTCCTCACACCCTCGCCCTTCCCACCTATCCCTACTCCTGGCTCTCTCACCCCCTCCCTCACTCTCCCTGCTCCCTTTCCAAAAAGAGCCCTCGACCCGACTCTATCACGGCTATTTAGGCCGTGATTTCCACCGGTGCTGCACACCGCATCCGTTCCTCCACGACCGCCAGGATGGGGTGCTGCGGCCCGACTCTGTCCCAGCCGTGTCTGGGGTCTCCAGCATTGCGAACGAGCGCAGACGCGCCCAGAAGTCTGCCACCGCCCGGGCGCGTGCGCGGGCCAGTGGCGAGGCTCCTGTTGCGCCCGCTGTTGCTGCTGCTGCCACCGCCTCGCCCTCTCCCGCCCCTGCTTCCTGCGTTGGCCCTTCATCCGCTGGGGCGTTTAGGGTGGGTCCTTCTTGCTGAATTGCACCTCCCGCCGGGGTGAAGAAATCTGTGATGGCCCGCTGGCGGGATCTCTGCTGCTGGGGCTGCCCCATCATCTGTCGCTGTTGCTGTCGCTGCTGCTGCTGCTGCTGCTGCTGCTGTCCCACCGTTGCTGTCACCCCCATCCGTCCCTGTCGCCGGGTTGCTGCTCGGAGGCAGCACCTGCCGACTTCCATGGCCGATAGCGCCGCTAGGGCGATCACATCCCAAGGGCCCTGCTCACACCCGGGTGGCGCTTGGGCAAGCCAGAGCTGCTGCCGGGTGGTGGTGGCCCCTACTGTTGTCTGAGTGTGTGGCAGGTGCCTGTCGATCTGCTCCCATACGGCACGTGCGACTGGACATTCCCAGAAATGGTGCAGACGCGGTGGGCAGGGTCGGCCGGCGGCGCCCCCATAGGTCCCACACCCGCATGGCTCAGTGGGCACCCGGGCTAGGTGCGTGTTGCCAGGTAGGGCCACGCCATCCACGGCGAGACGCCACATGGTCTCCTTGTTCTCATTCTCCCAGCGCACCCCATGCCACAAGCGTGCCAGAGTTGCCTGAAAGCGGCTAAGCTCGGCAGAATTGTCAGGCTGGGCCTGGGCCTCGGGCGTGTTCAGGGCCTCATGCACGAAGTCGGTCATCAGGCGTATTCGCCGCTCGTCCACATGCCGGTTCTGTAGCTGTGTCGCTTGACTGACTGTTAGGCGGCGGAGCGGCACAGCGTCCGTCGCCCCAGGGAGGCGCCACCCCAGGCGCCCAATGATCATGGTCATCACTTGTGTGCAGTCTGGCCGTGTCATTGCCGTTGTTGGTGATTGCTGCTGGGGCCCCTCCTCCTCCACTTGTTGCTGCTGTCGCAGCCTGATCTCCACCGCGTGTGCTGCCTCCAGCCAGGCCGGGCTGATGTCGCTGTGCAGGGCTCCAAGAGCTGCAAGGGCGGCATCCTTGTCCTGCAGCTGGGCGGGGCCTGTGGCTGGGTCGAGGTGCTCACGGGCCCACGAATGCCAGGCTGCTCCCTGGGGGGTGGTGGTGGCTTGGCTAGTGTTTACCGCTTCCCACACCCGTACCAGGTCCCACACCCGTACCAGGTTGTTGTTGTTGGTGGTGTTGTTACATGGTCGTGGGTGCGTTCCCCGTACATGCAAACCACCCTAATACGAGCCAAGGGCTCAAGGGCTGCCAGATCGCCTATAAGCACCATCCTACCTCGCACTTCCAACGAAACAAGTGATGAGGGATACTAACGACCAAAGGGAACGATAGAGTTGCGGTGGGACCATATGCATGGATGACATCTGGCTGGCTGGGTGGGCGGGCGGCATGACGGCTGAATAGTGGTCCGCGAGCTCCCAGCTCCATATGCTTTTTGCGGCATCCTTGTGTCCTTCCATCATGCATGTTATTCGCGGAATGGATGGGGGGGGTCTGGTGCGAGGAGCTGTGGCTGTCCGCTCTCAATGGCCAGTGAGCGATATGGCCGTGTGGATGGAAGGGGGGAGAGGCCCGTGTGCGTGTGTGCAGGGTCCCCAATCCCAATACTCCACAAGGAACTCTGGTGGGATACCATTATCATGGCGTCCGTAACCTGGACGACCTGGGGAATGGAGCGGTACGCCGGGCACATGTACGACACAACTTGCCTTCGGAGGGTAAACCAACTCACCCATAACCCAACCTCTTCCCATCTTGCCGTGCTCCCATGTCCATACCCCCGACAACCTTCCCTGGCCCCAACCCCACACATGTACATGTCCCAACCCCTCACCATCAGGATCCGGAGCAGCGGCGCATTGCCAACCTGGCCGCATCCGCAGCTCGCGCTGCGCGCATGTGGCGCTTCTTCCACCAGGCGACGTCGGGGGCGGGCAGGGCGCTGATCCCGGAGAGCAGCACTTCTTCCCTGGATCTGTAGCGACCTCCTGGACGGGGCTGCTTGTCGTCGGGCGAGTCGAAGAGCGCAAGACCGTTGAATCTCAATGTGGGTTGTGGAGGTTGCAACGACTAGGCTGCAACGTGCACGGCGACCCGCCGTGGTCATCAACAACATCATCATCACATCCCGCTGTCTCTCCCGCTGATGGTAATCGGGACGAGAGGCATGAGAGAACGGAATGTGATAAGAGAGCTTTTGATATCGGTTTATTACGGCACGTACTATAATTTGCCGCAAAGGAGGCAATTGAGGGACAGCAGTGCAGGCAGACGGTTTACAGGTTCATTTATGGCTCGTGGCGCGTGTGGCCATTTGTTTTTCTGTATAAAAAGTGTGACCAGACAACGTTCAGTGGGTTTGTCTTGTTCTGGCGAGAGGTTGTGCAGGCATGGCACGTGAGCGGTTCGTCAACTCGAAGCATAAGTTACAGGAAGTGTGAAGAGGGGAAGGATGTCGTCATGTAAGGCGTGCCTTTTCACGTTGACGTCCTAGATGCCCTGGCTGGGGAGCGGATGCGACAGCGGGTTGGGCGAGTTGGTTTAGAAAAGGGTGGTCCACACGTTCCTCGTTTGTTGACGGTAAACCTTGCGGGAATGGTCGATGCTGATGTTTTAAACGGACTGTCGCCCTTCACGAACAACCCATTGCCAAACTTGGTGTAAGGTGTGTTCCTTTGCTGAGTCTCACAGCAGCGCAGCGCTTCTGACCCCAGGGAGGGGATGCGGCGCTGGCTCAGAAGGCGACACATTGTCGGTGTATGTATGTTGTTACAGGGTGGTATAGCTTCACCAGCGGCCCCCTTTCCCGAGGCAGTTCCCTGCTCTCCCCTGCGAGAGGGGCACCCTAATCCATTCACCCCATCCGACTTCAGAATGTATTCATTGGGTTCAGCAACTCGCCAACAGCATCCAACCAAATCTAGCGGATCAACGGCGACTCAACTTAGTTCCTGGTCAGCTTGCAAGTTGATATAATCACGTCCTACATCGTCCACAAGGTGGGGGGCCTGAACCCGGACACTCCGGGAGCAGAAGTCAGGCCTTAACCTCTGCCAGCCGCCTGCCTAGGCCTTAACCTCCCCAGCAGCCTGCCTAAGTATGGAAGCGTGTGTATGTATGGAAGAGTGTGTGTGTGTGTGTGTGTGTGTGTGTTGCACAGGTGTAGCACACACCTTGAGTTGCGCTACTAAGGTGTAAAGGAAGTGTTACACCAGTTGTTGGTGTTGTACACCCTTGGGAAGACATGTCGCTTCCCCTGGCGAGTGTCCACTGTTGTCCGCGTCCGCCGGTGGACGGCAGTGATTTTTTTTTCATTTAGGGGGGGTCTCAATTTATTCCAACCTAAGTAACAAAGTTGCTAGCGTCGCCGTTATGTATTCCTTAAGAGTGGGGCGCTGG